TTTTCTTACGCAAATCTCCTCAGCGGAGGAAGTCTTACTGCTATTTGCCTACCGTGCCAGGAGTCGAGAAAAATCAGGAAAATATCAGGTATTTTCAAAATGAAAAAATCAGGGAAATATCAGGATTTTTCAAAATTAAAAAATACTAGACACGCTGGAAATGAAATGGAGAATTTGCACTCAAAAATTGTATTGCTTCATCTGGAAGTGCCTAATAAGCTGAGTTCGCTGTATTTTTCATGATTTTTTTCTGACATGAGAAATTGGAGAAAAATTGATTTAAAAACGAGAAAATTTGCGGCCTTGTGACGTCATCTGGCGGCACTCCCCATTTAAACACGTGTATTTCAGCAGAATCGGTTACGTTCTCATATCCTTTCTAATAATTGCGTGTTCAGTTCACTCAGTAGATTCCACTTCAACTCGAAATTCATCAAATTTCAGATCCTTGCAAATTCTCCATTGTGGAAACTCTGACAACTCGTCATTTATATGAAAATTGCAAAAAAAGAGTGTACGCAGCTAAGCATTTGTTTTTAAAATCCTATTTTCTTTTTTTTGCTGGCAAGTATACGTCAGGTATCTCAAGATCCCTACTGATTTGTGACAGAAAAGTGACTGATCGCGGCTGGTTCATTTTTCTAAAACGTGGTGAAAGTCATCCAATCTAGAGATATTTCATCATTCTAACAAGAAACTACATAATGTTTTTGACACTAGACCGCAAATATTGTGCCAAAACTCCTGGTAATTTTTCTGGTAAAGGCTAAAATATTTGCGCAAAAACGTTAAAAACTCTTATCTTTATTAGGTTTGCTTCTTCATCGTTCATTACCGGATGAATTTTATAAGGTCGATTTTTTGTGCGATAATGCACCAGCGGCGTTCTCGCTTCTGTTCTTTTGAGAATTCTTACGCATTAAAAATCCACATGGTTCATTATTGCAGGACAACATCCGAGTCTAGGTATGTTAACTCATAAAGAAAAGATCAGAAGAATGAGGTAACTCGGAATTTTGACATTACACTTGTGCGGAACGGTACAAAAGACAAAATTAAGTATTTTTCTGAATGGACGAACACAACCTCACATCAAACTTTCTTCAGCGTTACTCGCGAAACCAATGGTTACAGAACCATTAAAAGCCACATAAACACGAACAATAGAAACCAACTGCATCCCTACCGCAAAGACCAAGAATACAACGTCAAAACGGTCAAATCATCCGGCATATACCCGCCAGTGGCGTAGCGTGAATGATCGATAATCGATATATCCCCATTTGAAGCTATGCTAAAGAATCGATTACTAAGGGTACCCTGGTAATCGATCTTTTTTCATAGCCTTGAGTGGCTTATCAGTCGATATATCGCAAAGCACGCCACGCCACTGATACCCGCAACCCGGCGAAGCGGTCAAACGCTCCGCGGGTGTTTGCTATTGTCCGCGTAAACCCTGCAGCGTTGTCAAATCTCTGATCCTTTTATCCTACACCAATCGGAATAAATGGGCGGTTTTTGGCAACGGCGCTCGCGAGACGCCTCGTAAATCGCGGTGCACGGCGGCGGCAAAGGCACCGGGCCCGCGGCCCGTTTGAGCCGGTCGATGCGACGGGGATGCGGTAATTATTACCGCGGCACGCGTTAAAATGCTCGCCGAGCGACGCCATTCTCATTCCGCGAGCGTTACGCGCCGAGTTTCTCAACTTGGAGTTGCAGCGCGTCGATCCCGAACTGTGAAGTGTCGTTGCGCCGAGTGCATGGTGTGGAAACTAATAGACCACGGGAAGGGCTGCATTCTCGGTAGCACTTTGCGTCACTCCTATGACGTAAAGGCGGATCTCTTGTTGTACGTGAGCCCTGAAACACACGTAGAGTTACATTGGCAATAGGGCTCAATTTAGAAAGCAGTTACGCTCCTATGTCCGAGGAGCGACTAATAGAATCGCGCAAAAGCGGAGTCACATAACAATCAGTTTGAACCGTTCGAGATCCCTTTGCAAGTCTAAAGTCAAACGCAAGGGCCGTTTGGCAAATACGTAACGCTCTAAGGGGAAGGGGCATGATCCTGCGTTACAGGGAGAGAAGGGCGTCGGTGGTTGCGTTATGTAACGTTAAAAAGGGCGTGCAGTGCCGAATCCTATTTGTCGAGCGTCTGAGATGGAAATTCGACGCACTGGAAAAAAAAAACACATTGGATTTAGAGTCCAGAAATCTTAAAAATATTGACAAGAGAACTCTTGATTCAATCAGAATCTAGCTTAAATCAAGAACCAAGCCTCTTAACGTAAGCGGATTTCGTTTTGATTCAAGCAAAAATCCAATTGAATCAAGAGTCCTTTTTCTTGTCAATGTTTTCAAGAGTCCGGACTCTAGATCCAATGCGTTTTTTTTCCAGTGCAATTAAAGGCAAAATCTTATGTGGCTTGGTACCTTTTCGCTTAACGCGGTGCAAATGTTGTCCCCTCCCTCCTTTTCTCCAACGGATATTTCCCATGCTCCCCACACAAGTCGAGAGTAAAGTGAAGAAGCATTAGCTCGGCGGCTAATTCAGCTTTCGATTCGTTGCGGGGCGATAAGCACCCGCGGTGGGAAGGCGGCGGCTAAGACGCGAAAGCTGGCTGGGAATAAAGTGGCGGGACTTATGCCCGGATGAAAGCGGGGCTGAATAGCGAGTATTTCAAAGAGCGCCCCGGAGTCGGGTGTCATATTCGGAATCATTAACATACTCACGGTTAATGCACGAGGCTACCGTCCCGGGCCCAGACACTTTTCGAGGGCTTTTCACTTTCCACCGCCACCGGGATTCCTACGTGCTCAAATCCCCACCAGGCTTCGTTGCCGAGTTGGGTATGGTTCATAAATTACGTGACGCCCTAGGGCAAGGGAGGGTCAAGGAGTTTTTCATGTGATTTGGATGTTTTTTCAATGCAATTTTTCGTACGCCAGGGTGTCTACAAGTCCGGAATTTTCGGAAAGTCCGGAAATAGTACTGATTCTTTAAGGGCGGTCCGGAAGTACTGAAAAAGTGCGGAAATTCTGCAAAAAGGTCCGGAATTTTTTGTAATTTTGGGCGCAATTTCCAATTTTTGAAATTTCTCGATTTTCGTCAAATGAAGGTACTGAAAAAGTACGGAATTTTTCTGTCAGAGGAGGTACTGAATTTCTTGAGAACGTATTGATGAAGTACTGTAAAAGTACTTATTTTTAACCAGCCTGTTTTAGTAGACACCCTGTATGCATTTCTTAGCACCTGTCAGGAAATCAGGGATCTGCAGCGAAGTATAAAATACAGCTGCAGGGTACCTAAATCGCACTGGAGAGTCATATGACATTCCTGTGGATTTAACGAAAATTCCACTTTCACATCCAAGTGTGTTTCACACTTTCACAGTGGTCGGACTGAGTTAAACCAACCTGTATTTTCCGGGAAAGCTCGGGGGTCTCATCTTAAAATGTTTTTCGCACTTTTTTCCTCTGCATCTCGACTCTAACTTCATGAAAAGCAAAGGAGGGACCGTACACCTGTCTTTTTAGAAGCCCTCCAAGATGGGTCAAAACCTCGGACATGAGTTCATGTATGAAAAATATGAAAGAACCCTAATTTTCCGCACAAAAAAAAATAAAAAAACTAATAAAAAAAATGAATAAAAAAGGTGTTGGTGTCAGGGCTTTTCTCTAAAACAAACTGGTGGTTTCACACATTTTCAACTCTCTCGTAAACATGAGAGGGAGATCATAACCTTTCCCGCTCTCACGCCCTACATCCCTAGATTTCCTTCAAGACTAACCCGGATATGGCAACAGGGACGACAATCGAAAGTGGGCGTCGGCAGGAGGGATGCGAGAAGCTCTCGGAGGGATGCGCGGCGCTGATCCCGGCCTAAGTCCCTTCTTAGGTGTGATCGCTACAAACAACTTATTTTCAATTCTCGCCCGGACCGCCCAGCACACGTGCAGAAAAAGCCAAATGGAATTTTAATGCATAGCCATTAAGTCGCCGCTCCGGCTCGCGGGGAAATCTCGAGCTTTCCTTTTCTTCGCAGCCATTCCTGCCTCGTATTTTCCCTTTGACCCTTTGCGGGCCCTCTGCGGCCGGGCCTCGCCGCGGACAATGGGAGTGTATGCCGTCCGAAATTCTGTGCATCGCCCTTGCCTCGGCTTTCCACGTTAATTTATTTATTCCCCTCCCCCTGCTCGTAGCCAAGAGCTACGGGGAGTTCCTTTCAAGTCCATTTCCTACCTTGCTTTGCTCTCGTGAACAGAGAAACATTCCGAATACAAGGTCGTTTTTAGTGCATTGGCGGGTCCGACAAAATGGCAACATCGTCTTTTCTCCATTTGAACCTATGGAAATGTATCGATCCTTGGAAGGGCCAGGTGCTCCGACACGAATCGATTATTTCGCATAGCTTTAAATGGAAGAAATCCGGTGTTGCCATTTTGCGTAAAGCGTCCTCTCCACTAAGAAAAATAAAGTATGGTCTGAGCGACAGTAATAGGAGGATGGTAATTACCATCAGACTCGATGGTCGCAAAGATCATAACTCTGATCACATTCACCAAAAGTATGGTAAGTTCTATTAGATGTCTGGTGAATTGTATCCCACATCACTGTGTTAAAAATCAAGACTGATGCCAGAATTTACGATACTTCTGGAAACAATTGCCATCCTTTTTTTCAGCGTTGACTTTTACCGCTCTGGAAAATATTAATTTTCCGAGGGAAATTTTGATTTTTCAAAATTTTAAGATTTTTTTCAAGAATTGATTTTTCAAAATTTCAATATTTTTTCAAGAAGTGATTTCTTAAAAATGTTAAATAGATTTTAGTTGACAACTTGTTTTACCTGTCCATGTGATTACTTCGTTCTGTCACTCATTTCTTTGAAATTTGCTTCGACTAATGCATTTTTTTCTCGTTTTGTGCAGGATTCGATCTTTCACTCATTTCTTTGAAATTTGCTTCGACTAATACATTTTTTTCTCGTTTTTTGCAGGATCCGATCGGAGATTCTGGGTGGGGCGTGGTGTCCGAAGCAGCAGATCACTACCGAGTCGCGAGAATGGCTGGAGATCGACTTGCATTCCGTGCACGTGATCACGGCCGCCGAGACGCAGGGTCGTTTCGGCAACGGACAGGGTCAAGAGTTCGCCGAGGCTTACCTCATCGAGTACTGGCGCCCCAAGCTCGGAAAATGGGTCCGCTACAGGGACGTCAAGGGCAATGAGGTCAGTAGCTTTTCCTTTTTCTTAACGCTTAAGTAAAATTGCGAACGTTGTTGAGCGGAATCGTCACTCCTCTGACGTTAGGACATATCTCTATTTCCACATGAGCTCTGGGAAACATGACGTTGTACAGAGAACAGAGCTTACGCGGAACTTAAAATGCGCCCTTACGTCAGAAGAGCGAGGAATTACTTCGTTGAAATTAAAAAGAATATTAAGTAGTAAAACAAGGTGACAAGTTCTTCAAAAGTCAGGAAACCGGCTGTATCCGAATTGCGTTCCTGGCCATTCCGAATTGCGTCCCAAGAACCTGTACAAGTAAGTGCAAACGCGTTGTTTCTCAAATGAAACAGAAATCTTAGCTACCATTGAAAAATACAATCCCAGTATCAATTTTTGGATTTCGAAAGTTCGAAGGGATTTTTTTAGCTTGATCATTTGCTGCTTGCAACACTCCATCAGGCTTTAAGCTTTATAGAAAATCCCTTTTTTTTGAAAATGTCAATTGTTCGTGACGGAGTAAAGAATTTCGGAGAAGCGATTACTAATTGAGAAATCTTTTGTTCCGTGTGTAACCCTATTTCCTTTTGATACGAGCCATGAGCCGCCCACGGCGCCCACCTTGTAAAGCCCGCGGCCTACACTGATTGAATCTTGTTCGTATCGAGATGATCTTTTTACCGACGAATTGAGGGAAACAACTCTAACTAATATGAACATTCGTCATGTCACCACTCGTTACAGAAATGCCCTTTGAATAATATATTTTTTTCCTATTGTATTCTGTATTTGTGCCGTTAACGAGGAAAATTCTGTGACTGGCGTCGGCAGTGCTCGTCTGGAACAATTTCACTCAAGTTAAAAGCAATCGAGGGCTAATCTGTAGGATTAGCGGGGGATTAGCGGGCTAATTAACCCTAATGGATCAGAAGCGGAACCTTTTTAGTGTCCATCAGACACATTACAGACGAATTAGCAATGAATTCCCCGTTGCCAAACCGGTTTTTCTCGGCCTTGCGAATTGGTGACATCGACGAAGATTTTCGGAACATTTTTTTTTACGGTCCATAAGTCTCGTTACGCATGAACCTTGTTTTATTTAGCGGGTTACTGATCATTCCCATTTTCATTTTCTCTGTTTTGAAATGCCGCTCTGTGCTTTCTCCTTCCTAAAGTCCAGCTCCAGCTGAACTGCGAATGTCTCTTTTGAGACTTTTAGTATTTTATCACTATAAGCTTCCATGCGTTCCAAAAAAATCTTGAAAGTCCACAAGAGCCGAATAATCTAGCATTCTAATTGTATCAAAGAAATGAAATATCACAAATTTTGAATTGAAGATTTCACGCTCTAGTTAATTTTTCAACTCGTAATTTTGATTGGAATCACATGAATAAACTTATGAGAGGTTCATGATGGATTCATACGCGTGGCTAAGAAATGACTGACTATCACGTTAATTTAAAAAATTTCAGTAAAGTCCGTTCATGGCTTTCCCACATCTGAACCAAAAAAAGCCAATTTTAAGATATAAGGTTGAATTTATTATCTTTTTACAAGAGGCAGTTTCGAAAACCGATATAAACTATAATAATTATGATCGATTCAACCATATTTTTGTCATGCACCAAAATCAGTAAGCAGAACTGTTAAATTTAATGTACTTCTCAAGCAACATCGGTTTGGAAATTCATCTGTTGAAGACTTAAAACTCGACGACTAAAAACATGGCTCATTCTCTCCTAAAATTATCCGTGTGTAGGGGTAAATTAAATTAATCATTTTCAGTAAAAAAATACATTCCATGGAATTCCCTCTCTCCCTGGTGCACCATACCCCCCCACAGTAAATCCCCGGTCAATATTCCTAGGAATTTTGGCAAACGCGGATCGAACGAACACAAACGAGGAACACAACACAGGGAACATCGGAATACGGAACGGCCGGCAAATCAGAGATCCCGATTATCGGGTGATTTATTGACTCGGTGCACTCTTCATCATTCATTCATCCGCGGATCTGTTGTTTCCGTCTGTTTGCGAAAAGCTCCATGCTAAAACACCACATACCCATCACCCAATGACCCCTGGCACACAAGTAGCTTTACGGTCTTCAGGGTTCACCGAAAAACGGGCGCGTTCGGTTTTTTTAAAATTTACGTTTGTTTACCCGCGGCCCGGGATCCGCGGATGAGAGTGCGATCACCTCCCTGTTTGCTCAGTAAGATGCACGTATGTACATAGGGTTTCGAATTGAAGTTGAGTGGTTTTCGTGTGAAAGGGTTAGTGGCGATGCCATTAGCCCGGCTCGAAATCGATCGGGCTAAGTGCTCGGTAATTGTGATTCTGTCCGTCTCATTATCTCCTGCGGCGGCGGCAGCTTGTAAGCGAGCATTCGAGCTTTATCTTCGGTAAATAGGATCGTGAGACTTCGTTGTTTCGAGCCATCTCTTCGTGCTTCCCGTTGGTTTCGTCGAGGAGCATGCAACAAGAATAAGGAGACCGATAGAGTTACGAATTCTTTGGTTGAAGCCGATCACCGGCAATTTCTGTAGATGTTACCGTCTTCCGGTAATTTTACCAATTCTTATGTGTAAATTTTTTGCGTGTGGCGTTACTTTTTTCAAAAGATTAAACCACGTTTTTCTACAGGGTAACAATCTTCCTGTTGAAACTTTAGTGCTCTTGTTTCCTCCAATATTTTAGCAGTCAGGGTGAAATTTTCCAAAATTTCTCCCTGATTTCCAAACTTTCCAAAAATTCCAGATTTCATTCCTTCGTATAATCGCCAAATATTAGGATATATTGTCCTCCGGAAGATAACGCTCCTCTCTCAGATCCGGTCACAGTTTATTTTACCAGTGTAAGGACTCAACCGGTGATTTTTTCCAGACTTTACCGCGTACTGGATCATTTCAGTAAATTCTTCGTTTCCTATCCATGAAAGAATGTAACTACATTTCAATATTGCCAAATGTCTCTGTGCAAATTTTATATTTATTAGAAGAATCTTGGTAATTTTTGACTGTAAAATTTACTGATTTTTCCTCTAATCTCCTCCGAGAATCAGAAAAATATCGAGTCACATTTTTGTAAAAATTCGAATTGCCTGAGTCAATTTTGCAACCTCGGAATGTAGGCTTGTTTCTTCTTTCAGGAAACGACGGATTGATGCTGCATCTAAAATCACTCACCGAGAAACTTCTCGATCCCATTTTTATTTACCTGTTAACAATTTTCATAAAATTAACTCCAGCATTAATGAAAGAGTAAACATCGAGTACATCTAGTTCAAGAAGATGAAAAAAAAAGTCCGAGGCCTCTCTTCAGTGATCGGAACGTTATAAAAAAAACAATAATTGCCTTCCCTGTTCTATCAAGAAGTTGAGGTCGATGGTAACGACTCGACCGGTTCCCAGCAGCATTGGCTTAAATTTAGCCATTTTCCAGGAAGCAATTTCGCGGCTCGGAGGCCGGGGCTGGCGACGTAAAAAATTGGACGGGAAATGAGCGCGGTGGAGGCGTGGGCGTTTCTGGGCTCGTTTTCGCGCGCGTTAACTCCTTCTAATGAGATCGGATCGCCTTTGATATTCCGCGGCGTGCATGTGCAGCCAGTGTGTCGGCCTCTGACATGTTCCAGATGATACGCCCGTCGCACTTGCGGCGACGATCGCGGTAGCGTCCCGACGCTGGCGTCCGCGTCTCCCGAACGTCCTGGACGTCGCGTCGGTCCGTCAAACTGAGCCGCGACGTCACGTGGCGCGGTAAAATTGGATCGATACTGAGAGATTTTAAAAATGTTAATAATATTAATACTGCGGTCAGCTATGCCGTGCTAAGGAAGAACGCCGTATGAGCCACCAGCCGTTGCCAAATTTCCTTTGATAAAAGACGAATTCTCTGGTAAACTTGTGAATATTTTCCTTCCAATTTTTTTTAGATAATTTTGTTCGCAATTTCACGTAAAGTCCTTGAAAATTTCAGGGGAAAATATTCATATCTTTCCTCAAAAATAAACATTTTATCGAAGGAAATTTGGAAGCTCTCGAATGTTCATACGGCGTTCTTCCATAGCAAGGCAGAGCTACTCTGTTGTGCTTCAGATGTTGTCAAATTCCTTTTGATCGAATATGAATTTTCGGGAAAATTTGTAAATCCTTTTTTTCGAATTTTCAGAGAATTGTTTTCCTAATTTGATCTAAAGTGTTTGAAAATTCCAATGTAAAATATTCTTAACTTTCTTCGAAAATACATATTTTCTTAGCGGAAATTTCGAATGTTCATGCGGCGTTTTTCCTTAACACGGCAGTACTCGTCTCAGAGAATTTATTTCCTTTTGAAATTTGCAGATAATTTAGATCTGATCGTGATTAAGGTTCCCTGAAAAATTTAACGAAATATAAACCCAGATTTCCCTAAAAATTCATATTTTATCAAAGGAAATTCGGTTATGTCTGAAGATTCACACGACGTTCTCTCATATCACGGCCGTCCTACGATGTCTCCAAAGTGTAAACAGCCCCTTGATATTTTTCAACGAACAGCATTCTCTTTAAAAGGATTTCAAATCAATTAAAAACCATTCTAAAACATCGCAATTAAGTCGCGCAGTTTTAGAGCGTAACCATCGCTTTGACGCTTCATCAGTTTACAGGAGCTGAAACGAAGATCCCCAATCTGAAAGCGCTCAATCACCGACTTACGGGACAATAAGCTGCTTACGACGACGAGGCCGATCTAACCCGGTCAGCTCAAGGAACAGACGAGCACAGAGGCCCCTTAATTGGCCCTTTCGGTTTCGGCTTAATTTACAGCAGTCGCCGCCGCTCGCCCTCCGACCATTATCAGGGGCAGGCGACAAAACGAAGGTAATTTAAAACAACGTTCGAAATAAATCGACTCGGAGTAACTCGATTTAACGGTGCAAAACCGGATCTTTACATCGGTTTCGCGCCCGGACCCCATCGCGTCTTCCTGCCGTTCGGAAATTCGCATGGCAAGCGTTT